GATAGTTCCACCGTCGCGGATCTGCTCGAGGATTTCCATCGGAATTTCAATTATCCTCTTGGAAATCGAATGTTGTTCCGATAGTTCTTCGGTGGCGGATAGCACAGTGACCTCGAAGCTCTAAAGCTCGCCGGCGCGACGCAGAAAGCCGGAAACTAGGCCGAAGGCGGCAACGAATTCCGAGGCACCGTTTCAACCCCCCTATCCACCGAACACTCGAACCCTCTTCACGCTGTGTGCACCGATACGCCTGCACTCGCCGATCGCACGGAATAAATCGCGAACGATGAATATTAATACAGACGCCGGTCGATCCGGCGCACAGTGGGTCGAGCACTGTCGGTTCTGCTGATCAAAAAACCGAAAATTAAGTGTTCTCGTCATCGACGACTTTTGTACCACGTCGCGATACGTCGAATTTCTTGTCAGCCGCGAGTTAACCTTTTAGGTACGGTTGAATTCTGCGCGAGGCTATTTCTCTGCACGGCAGAGTCTGATATATACAGGGTATATACAGGGTGTCCCAAAAATGTCTCGCAATCCGAAAGTGGCGAGTTCCTCATGCCATTTGAAGCAACTTTTTCCTTTACAAAAATTTTCTCCGAGACACCGTTAACGAGTTATTAACGAAAAACAGTGACCAATGAGAGGCGAGCTCAGCTGGCGCGAGGCGATCGAGCCAATGAGCGGAACTGGGCTTCGCGCGCTGGTTGGCTGGGCCGCCTCGCGTCAGCCGTACTCGATTCTTATTGGTCACTGTTTTTCGTTAATAACTCGTTAACGGTGCCTCGGAGAACATTTTTGTAAAGGAAGAAGTTGCTTCAAATGATCCGAGGAACCCGCCATTTCCGGATTGCGAGACATTTTTGGGACACCCTGTAGACTGTTGTAAATCGATGCGAAGACAAAAGAAGTGTGAAACAATGCATATAAAGACGATTATTTGGTTCAAACGATGAGCGAGTGAGCTACTAGAGCAAGCCACTATAGTGGCGCCTGGTCCAGAGAGATGACATCCGCGAAAGCCACTATAGTGGCGTGTCGTTCTAAAAGATGATATCCGCGGAAGCCACTATAGTGGCGCGTCGGGCCTAAAAGGTTAATCGTCGCTGCGAATAGTATTGGGTCTGGGAAAAAGTTCGTGTCGTTTTCCCGATAGATGTCGTCAATTGTTAATAACTCGCGAACAATTTATTGCAACGATACCATGAAACGCTTCATTTCACCCTAGAAAGATAACCATATGACAACGTACGTAAAAGATAACCATACGCCTGTCTCTTATACACATCTAACGTTATTTTGGGCGTATAAACATCGTGGTGGTGCAGTACTTGGAAAGTTGTTGGCGTTTGAAAATGGAGAGAAATGATGAGAAATTTTGCTATGTTTTACAATATTATTACGACAAAGGGAAGAACGCTATGCCTGTCTCTTATACACATCTAACGTTATTTTGGGCGTATAAACATCGTGGTGGTGCAGTACTTGGAAAGTTGTTGGCGTTTGAAAATGGAGAGAAATGATGAGAAATTTTGCTATGTTTTACAATATTATTACGACAAAGGGAAGAACGCTATGCCTGTCTCTTATACACATCTAACGTTATTTTGGGCGTATAAACATCGTGGTGGTGCAGTACTTGGAAAGTTGTTGGCGTTTGAAAATGGAGAGAAATGATGAGAAATTTTGCTATGTTTTACAATATTATTACGACAAAGGGAAGAACGCTATGCCTGTCTCTTATACACATCTAACGTTATTTTGGGCGTATAAACATCGTGGTGGTGCAGTACTTGGAAAGTTGTTGGCGTTTGAAAATGGAGAGAAATGATGAGAAATTTTGCTATGTTTTACAATATTATTACGACAAAGGGAAGAACGCTATGCCTGTCTCTTATACACATCTAACGTTATTTTGGGCGTATAAACATCGTGGTGGTGCAGTACTTGGAAAGTTGTTGGCGTTTGAAAATGGAGAGAAATGATGAGAAATTTTGCTATGTTTTACAATATTATTACGACAAAGGGAAGAACGCTATGCCTGTCTCTTATACACATCTAACGTTATTTTGGGCGTATAAACATCGTGGTGGTGCAGTACTTGGAAAGTTGTTGGCGTTTGAAAATGGAGAGAAATGATGAGAAATTTTGCTATGTTTTACAATATTATTACGACAAAGGGAAGAACGCTATGCCTGTCTCTTATACACATCTAACGTTATTTTGGGCGTATAAACATCGTGGTGGTGCAGTACTTGGAAAGTTGTTGGCGTTTGAAAATGGAGAGAAATGATGAGAAATTTTGCTATGTTTTACAATATTATTACGACAAAGGGAAGAACGCTATGCCTGTCTCTTATACACATCTAACGTTATTTTGGGCGTATAAACATCGTGGTGGTGCAGTACTTGGAAAGTTGTTGGCGTTTGAAAATGGAGAGAAATGATGAGAAATTTTGCTATGTTTTACAATATTATTACGACAAAGGGAAGAACGCTATGCCTGTCTCTTATACACATCTAACGTTATTTTGGGCGTATAAACATCGTGGTGGTGCAGTACTTGGAAAGTTGTTGGCGTTTGAAAATGGAGAGAAATGATGAGAAATTTTGCTATGTTTTACAATATTATTACGACAAAGGGAAGAACGCTATGCCTGTCTCTTATACACATCTAACGTTATTTTGGGCGTATAAACATCGTGGTGGTGCAGTACTTGGAAAGTTGTTGGCGTTTGAAAATGGAGAGAAATGATGAGAAATTTTGCTATGTTTTACAATATTATTACGACAAAGGGAAGAACGCTATGCCTGTCTCTTATACACATCTAACGTTATTTTGGGCGTATAAACATCGTGGTGGTGCAGTACTTGGAAAGTTGTTGGCGTTTGAAAATGGAGAGAAATGATGAGAAATTTTGCTATGTTTTACAATATTATTACGACAAAGGGAAGAACGCTATGCCTGTCTCTTATACACATCTAACGTTATTTTGGGCGTATAAACATCGTGGTGGTGCAGTACTTGGAAAGTTGTTGGCGTTTGAAAATGGAGAGAAATGATGAGAAATTTTGCTATGTTTTACAATATTATTACGACAAAGGGAAGAACGCTATGCCTGTCTCTTATACACATCTAGATGTGTATAAGGGACAGGTCTAGTCCAGACATAGCACTCTCCGACTATCACTTGTTCCGATCTCTGCAGAACTCTCTCGATGGAATTAAACTGGCTTCGAAAGAAGCCTGTGAAAACCACTTGATTCAGTTTTTTAACCAGAAACCGCAGGAGTTTTTCACCGATGGTATCACCATTCTACCCGAAAAATGGCGAAACATTGTCGATAATAATGGAGCATATTTGGTTTAAATAAATTCATTGTCACGATATAAGAAATCCAGTTGAATTTTACTAACAAAACGCTGCGAACTTTTTCCCAGACCGAGTATTATTTTATTTATGTCGACTGAGACGCGTGGCGAGATTGCGTACGAATAATGCCGGGGGCACGGAAATTGGGACATGTCTATATCCTATTTATGCGATATTACATTATACGTTCGATTTCGCTAAATGGATTCTTCTTGTAAACGGAGAAGAAGTGTTCGAATTTCATCGATGCAACGACGTTCCAGAAAATGTCACGTCGGGTAAATCCCTCGAGGTCCATCAGGGTTTCGGTCGATTTTCCATTAAAGCCTTGATTACAGGACAGAAAAACAAACGCGTACACGGAAAAATTTCTCCTATAATTGAATCCTGTTTTGTAACGTCGCGCGTATTTTTGTTCGAACGCGGAATCGAATGGAAAACGCTTTCAGTCGCAAGTTTCTCGATTTTTGCCCGACAAATTTCATCGCGGGCACAAGCACAACCTCCAGGCTATCTGCACGCCGGAAAAAGCATAAAGTTATTATTAAATTTGTTTCAACCTGTGCAGACGCACTTTGACGACGCGTCCGTTTTATTGTTGCAGATGTTTCGTCGATACTCGGCAATTTAATACGGTAGCGTCTGTCTTTTATTTTCGTGCACGGGAAAGAGAAGATTTTCTAATGAATTTTTATGGTATTATGTAACAATCCTGTTTGCGAGCTGCAAAATGAAAGGAAGTCGACAGAATATCATGCGCGCGGGTTCTTCGATTTTCATTTTGTTAAATGAATTGCTTTCACATCAACTCTTCGGTTCTTATCTCGTTAAATAAATTGCTTGCATATAAACTCTGCGGTTCTTATTTCGTTAAATAAATTGCTTTCACACGAACTTTTCGGTTCTTATTTCATTAAATAAAATTCATTGATCTAAACTCTTCGATTCTTATTCCATTGAATAAAATTCATTGATCTAAACTCTTCGATTCTTATTCCATTGAATAAAATTCATTGATCTAAACTCTTCGATTCTTATTCCATTGAATAAAATTCATTGATCTAAACTCTTCGATTCTTATTCCATTGAATAAATTGTTTTCATCCGATCTTCTTAATTCTAATTTCTAAAATTTTCTCATAAATCTCGTTTCGTGCACAAGACAAAAATTACAGCGAATTTTTCTCATTGTGGCCGCAACGATCGCGGCAGATGCAGTCAACAAGTGTCTAGAGGCTTCGCCAAGTGGAAAACGGTTTTGTCGCGGGTCTTCTTGCTTGTTTCGCGGGAACATTGTCGCCGGATGAAACAATTTAAGCACTGCGTTTTCGGCCGAGGTCGAAGGAAGTTCGCGGAGCAACGCGGCTCGGCAAATGAGCCACGATCTACGGTGCTTTAATTCGAGCGAAACATTTTTTTTCTAATCGGATTAAGGAGAACGAGGAATAAAATTGCCGGGCGGAGGGCTCCGACGGCGCTTCCTCGGCCGGTTAGACGCGCGAAACGAGAATTTATGCTGGCCGGCGAGTGTTTTACCATTTTTATAGCCGGCGAGAAGCATCTGCGCATTTAACGGATGCTGGAAAAGATTGAATAACAAATCTGGAGCTGTTGCGTACTCACCGGGAAGATCAGTCGGAGCAAATCGACGACGCGGCGGAACGGTTGCGCGGCTCGGGATCTGCAACAGAAAACGGTGTTATTAGTTCCCGGCAGCCCTCAGCCGGCAATAGATTGTGGATGCCGGCCCTCGAGCATGAATTTTTCATGTTGTTTTTATGCTGAGCACTGTAAAGCCTTCTCCGGGGACGGTATTGCCGTCTAATCGTTCCGGGAACCACTCGAATTACAAGTATCGAGATAAACCGGCGTTTAAACTGTGTTATTTATGGCTGCGACGATGATTAATATTTTGGTTGGCGGTGACTCCAGTCGCTGTCGTTCAGTGAGAATCGAGGGGAACAATTTTGTTGAAGTTACGGTGGTGCGAATCATTGTAGACTCAATTTTACAGTTTTAGTGAGATTTATACAAGAACTTTACAAAACAACATATTTTTATATTATAGTTAGTATATTTTTACATTGTAATTATCATATTTTATATTATAGTTATTATATTTTATATTATAGTTGTTATATTCTATATTTTAGTTCATTTATTTAGTAAATTTGATCAAGGAATTATATTCTATATTTAGTTAAATATTGATTTATTCAATGAATTATATTCTATATTTTAGTTAGTTTTACTCAATCAATTTGTTTCATCGGACATATA